TTTGCTTTTGTTATAACATAAAATTAATATCTGTACTAAAAGGCATTGTTCGAAAGTAATAAGAAAAATACATTTCATAAATAATTCATTGATTATTACTGATTCCAGGCGGTTTAACTGCTAAGGTCATTAGTCCCGCAAGTATAGTACATCTTTTTTTTCGGGATGTGGTCTTGCCAATCTGGCGATCTTTAAAACGAGTAGTTTTCAAGTAATTTCTGCGTGAAAGCAATGCAGTTTATAAGAAACCATTTTCCGAAAATTCAATTCAATTTTTTTCTTTAAATGTTTAAATAGAACAAGAAACGTTTTTAAGAATGGCGCAACTCTAATTGTTGTTGATTTCTCAGTATTTTCGAAAATTGCAAGTTTAGAAATATTCCGCGAAAGGTTTTTTCATTGATTAGTGAATCTGGGTGCGTTAACTCCTTAAGTCGTTAGTTCCGTAAGTGTAGGGCATGTTCTTATCTTGGGAAGCCGTAGTGATCTTGCCCCTCTGGATGGCGAGATCCCAACCCGTTATCTCCCGCCAGCGGGGCACCGCCCCAACAGGGGCAAGCTCTCAGCTCCCGACCGGTCTCCCGGCATGTGGAGCAGTGTAGTGAATGTAAGCGTAAGTGTGTGTACGTAGTGTGGATAGGATAATGAATGGGAAGGAAAGATTGCGTGCAGTCCGTGGCCCGTTTGTAAGGAATTCTGTTCCGAAATGTTCCTGGAATTGATCGGTTAAACCACCGATTCAAGAGCAGCCGGCCCGCAAAATCGCCCACCAGACAGCAACAGAAATTCGAGCCTATCACGCGGTCGCGGTTCCGAACAAAGTACAGATCCTTACGATTTTTCCGTAAAATAAAACATCCCCTCCTTTTAAGATTTCAAAAACTGTTTTAAATCATATTAACAAATTTGTAATAACACAATTACATTAGTAAAATGCATTGTTTATTTAGCAACAAATCATGATGAAAATCTTAGAATTTATTAATTTTGTGTAGGAAGGATTACTGCTTGGTATGTCTGAGGAAGACCACGCACAAATGTTCGAAAAACGTCGGCAACTCACCTTCGACGCGGCGTCACCCGGACAGCCCAGATCACCCACATGACTCTGGTCGCGGAAGCCTACGACTTTATTTTGTCATCATAGCAATTTTAAATATTTTGTTCGTTAATCAAAAATTATTGCTTATCTACTGTTAAAGAGGGAACACGAGGCTTGACCCTTTTTCAACTGCGTGTAGTTGGTTTGAATTTTGGATATTGTATTGAAATAGTGGTGCACTTTAAAAATTAATATTTTTTCCTGGTTTCTTATGACATTTCGAAGTATAAAGGATGTGTTAACGGAAATGTTTCCTATGTATTGGAGTCTCATAGGATTAGTTTTAGATTTGAGGAAAGGAAAGAAAATATGCTTTCATAAAGTTGGAAAGGTTCGAGAGAAACTAATTTAGCGCAAACCGGCGCTGCGCCCCTTTGCGGGATTCATCGCCACCATCGTACGCATAACTTTCGATTCATGCAGTACAACAAAAACGTGCCACGTTTGTCTTCATTGTTGCTATAAAAGTGCGTACTTCGTTATTAACCTAAGACACGCCGTAGCAGTGCTAGTGTCGTAAATTCTGCCATCGTCTGGACTCGAAACCTGGGACCTTCCGGTCAGAGGCGCTGCAGCAGCGTTTCCAGATTCTCGTCTGAATCGTGACTTTTAACAAATCTTCGTGGAAAAAAACCTGAATTGATTAAAAAAACGGACAAAAAAGTAATATTTTAATTGTAAGTATCGAAACAAATATATTTATACAGATTTCAGGCACAAATAACGTAAACAGTAGGTTATCAAATTGTAACAGCTGATATTTTATTCTTTTTTTTGTAAGAAGAGGATTTACCTGACTTTGAGAAGTAGTTTGTTAAATTTTTTGAAGTGTGAGAGCTTGCGACCGTCGTGTGAGAGCTTGTTTTCGAGTGCATTACGATATCATGTGAAACTCTCCACTCTTTCTTCCATGGTCGACAACATGCTTTATGCTTATTTTACTTTACCTCACACAGCCAGTTGTAATCACGTTCCCGTTTAATGTTGTATTTTGATAACCGATGTTTCCCTAATTTAATTTTCTTAATGTCTTGCGCCGACAAATTCAAACTGTTCGAAGAGCTATCATCTTATTTACTGATCTTCAAACAAAGCTTTAGGAAATAGCATTACAAAAGTAAAGTACGGTTTATTCTCCTAGTAGTGTTTGACACTTCCAATATGCAAAGTGAGCACACATTAAAAAAATGAACGATATTCGATGGTGTCGACACCGCAAGCTCGACGACCCATGATGCAATGCGACGATTCGACTCACCCCTTGCGACGACAGACTCACACGCTACTGCCACTGAAATTTATTTCGCATGCTTTTTTGCTGCATTTTTTTTGCAGCGGACAATTCGTATTGAAAGATTATACAAAAGCACATTTGGGGTGTACCGCGCAGGACATTCACTTTGGGTCTTAAAAAGAGGAACGTCCCCCCAAAAGCGGGACGTCCCTGCAACGCTGCACTGCAGTGACAACACTCTATGCCCTGACCCACCTCTCCTGAGTGCATTTCATTAAAATACACCCCAAACGGAAAAGCAAATGCTAGCGCGTTATGTGGAATGTGCTTGCGCAGCTGACGCAGTGCTTCAACAGGCTGATGACGCCGCCCATGACGACGCACGCCAGCGTGGTGCTCAATGCTTCGCTCACCTACCCGGCCATCACGGTGTGCCGCTGCCCCGCCTACCGCAGCGCGGTGCTTCAGGTGAGGCTCCTTCTGATTACTACAACTCGGCATTTCAGGCTCTAAAAGAGTGATGATATAGGCATCTAAAATAGGTAACAAAATTATGAAATTAGGCACTATTTGGATGAAAAGTGACGTTTTAGGCTCTGAAAATATGTCACAAAATTATTGCGTAGGCATGACGCGGCTCGTCCACGGTATGACATTGTCGCGGACGCATCGTCGTATGACATTGACGCGGCTCGTCCCGGATAGCCCAGCCAACAACAGGTCACAAAATGATTAGACCACGCATAATACATATAAAACGTTTCTGATATCTAAAATTGGTCATAAAGGCATTAAATTAGGAACTTTTTATTATTTAGGAACCTGAAGCATGAGAGTGACATTAATGGGAGTGACTATAATAATATTTTATTCACTTCCAATTCTTTTTTGTCCATCCATTCTTTCACACTTCATTCTGAACTTGGCAACACCGAGACGAGCGTTAAACGTCCTCTGTGCATTGACTTTCAGAGTTCCTTACGTTCGGTGTGTTGGATGAAAGATTTTGGTGCGTTGTTGATTGCGTATTTGAACAGGAAACTGGAGAAAGCATTTACGCTGCGTATATTTAGCAAGCTATTCAAGTTATTCCTGCATTACCAGACATACAAATAAACATAACCTTCCTTTAAAAACAAATTTAAACATTTACATTAGCAATATTAAAAAGTCAAATATTTTCATTGACATTATTTCAGGATCTCCTCTTACAAAAACAAAGATATAATTAAGGAAAATAATTTATAAAATCTGAGAAAAAATAATCTGAGAAAAAATTGTTGCCCGTCCCTGATATTGATAAAGTTGAAACATTTTGCTCTCTGCTTAAATAATGAACAATAAATGGTATAATTATAATCACAGGAAAAAATCTGTCTAAACCAGCTGGAATCTTAGACGGAAAATTTCTCCAGCCAGTGAAGTTTAATGGCATTTTACACAGCATAAAACGGAATCTGTCCAACGTGGAAACCGAACGATTTTTCAACTCCTGTAGGAAAGAAATCTTCATAAAACGGAATTCCTGTGAATTTAATGCAATTGGCAGACACGCACAAAATGTTCTTAATGAAATGAATGCTTCTGAAACCTATTTTAAATTCTGTATCCCTGTGACACGCGATTTAGTCATAGTAGACAGATATTGAAGGAGAGGGGTTTCAACTCTCAGCATAGAATTCGACCATTATTGTTAATTTCTTCCGTAAATACGTTATATATTAATGCATTTATATAATTATAATAAACTCATGTAATTTCCTACTTTAAGGGCAAAAATATAAGTATCACAAGTATCATGAAATGGGCAACTTTCCATAAAACGGAAATCTCCTTAAATCGGAATTCTGTTTGTGTCCTGAACAATTCCGGTTTAGTCAGATTTTTCAGTAATATAATACTAATGGTATATTTAAATAATGAATCTTGCTTGCATAAATCTTGCTCTTACAAGGGAATGCCGCGATGAGACATGTCGAAACCTGACCTAATCCGTCTCTTCATCGGAAGCACATGGCATATTAATCTCACGATCAATCTTTTGAGTGCCGATACACACGGAAGTCAATTAAAAACATCCTGAATTTGCAAATTGGCCCTATGTTTTCACCGATGTAAAAATGGCCATCCCTGCAAAGCTGATGTTACCCAGCGCGCTCGCTTGTGATTCAACACCACTGCACGCCGCAAGCGACAGACTCTGCTGCCAAGGTCGTTTCCTGCGAGGGGCAGGCTGAGAGGAAGCACCCCCTCCTAGCAGCTAAAATAATAAAACTAATATTAACACCACACATAATAACACTAATATTAACAACACATAGTCTAAACTACTAATACTAGGTTTTCCGAATTTTAGTTTTATCTCTTTTCATTTTTGTAAGAAATACATTTCGTCGTGATAAATCGTACCGCAACCGCTCATCTTCCATCCAACATGAGCTACCTACCCCGGAGCTCTTTCCTCACTAATTTGAGAGTTCTTTTCTGCGTCTAGTGCGAAACAGGTCAGATGTGTAATCACACGCGAAAGGGCGGTGCAAACTAGAAAAGTTGTATTTCGGAATTTTTGAATGAGAAAATTGATTTATCGACACAAATTAAAGAACGGTAATTTTCGCGATCAAACAACCAAAATGAGGTAATGACATATGAATTTGATTCACAAAACCACTCTTAAATCTTTTCTTTACATAATTTAATTATAAAAGTGACACAGTAGTTATATGATATACGCTTTATATTTAATCATTATGCATATTGACGATATTCATAAGAAAAAAGTACCAAACTTTCATTGGTAAGGAAATAAAATATCTCAAATAAAGTGGGCTTTGACAATAGTTCTGGCGTGTTGATTTTCAGCGTGATTATTGCAAAGAAGAGAAAGGAAGTTAGGTTTGAAAAAATGAAACTTTTGCGATATGATGCGCACCCACTCTGCATATCTCAGTAATCTCTCTTGACCTTGATACCCTTCACCAGAAATTATTCGCCCAGGTCAGGAAGCGCCGTTGACATTTTTCTATCCCCGATTGTCACACGCGAACCTCCGCCGTTGTTTGTAAATTAGCTCTTTGGGTCGGAAATCTGAATAAAATCACAATGTGGCACTGAAGGTTTTGGATTGAACTTTATGGGTCAATGGTAACACTAAGTTAGAATTTAGCACAGTCAAGTACGACTGTTTCCGTAGATTTTTTATTTTTAAAATCCATGTTGGTCATTTGAAAACGCGTCGTCTCTACTGAAAAAGGTTTCCGTTCGTTCTAAAAAAAACTCACTAATATTTTTGGAAAAACTGACAAATTGAAAATTGGCCAATAATGTAGAATTTTATTTTTGTCGCACTTTTTAAAGAACATCTTAATCTTAGCTATTTTGAAAATATCTGGAAAAGTTCCCGTACATAAGGATGCATTAAATATGTGAGTTAACGGGTGTATAGTACACCTTGTCCTCCTCTCTTAAAACGTTACTACTCTATATGTACGTAAATTCAGGGGTTAGGCGGAAGAGCAGGCTCTATGGCCTGAGCCTCGCCATTAATAAAGACATTATTATTATTATTATTATTATTATTATTATTGTTTTTATTGTTATTATTATTAATATTATTATCGGGAGATAGTCTTTAACAATGCGAAAATTCATTTAAACCGGCCGAATATTTTTTTAGTTTATTGATTATTTTAAGAACTTCATAGGAAGATGTTTCGGAAACGATCATCCTACCTAATTTTGTGGGGTTAAATGGGTAAGTCTCTTTCGTTAACTTGTGAAGTGCTACCCAAATGCAACCATCAAACTATTGCACAACTGTTACCAAACAATGGCATTTTTTGGCCTGATGGAGTTAAAAACAGTAATGTCCGTCTGGTATTAGGGCAAAACAGTACATTTGTAAGGCGATAGAAGCGCTGCAGGTCTTGTATCCAAAATTAGCACTCCTAAGCTCTCTTGTGCATGCAGAACTGCAGTCGTGTCATGTCGGGTTGCAGAACTGATTACACTCAGGTTAATAAAGTTGACGCTTGGATTTATAATACAAAAATGGATTAACAAGATGGTGCACTTGAATTTATTCTATGAGCTACAAAGATGAAAATGTTGATTTTCGCTCAACTACTTATTCTTTTCTTATTGTCATGCTTCAGCGTTCATAGGCATATCAAAGCGATCGCTTGATGATGAAAAGCTGAAAAATTATATTGCCGCATTTTTCAGCAAACACTACAATTAATTCTTTGGAGACGACTTCCTTGAAACTTTTCAACAGATTTAAAATTGCCTAAGCAGAAGTCACTTCTTTAAGAACTGTTTATCACTCGAAGATCAATAGGGGATCTAGTGAAGAAAAAGAGGTCTTCAGTTCTAGAAAACCGTGGATTCGAAACAATTTGTGCTATTAGTGCAATGCAATGAGGGGACAATTCCGCCACACTGGATATTAACCACACATCAGAGGATCTGTGCAAGTTGAAATACGACTTGTGCGATGTACAACGCTCTTTTAGTCAGTACAAGGTTCTCTTACAAGATAATAGGAAAAGTTTCGTTGGAGAAAATTTGAAATAAATGTTTTTTCTTAACATTACGGAGTTCGTTGTAAATAAAAGAATTAGAAAAAAATAATGTTTAATTTTGGGCTTTTTATTTTGAAGCAGAACAATATACACTAATATAAAAGTACTTAAATAAAAAATAATGGATGTAATAATACATATTTTTTACTTATGAGTTTTATTGTAAATACTTTTCCAATTTATAGTATATAATTATCCGGGCCCTAGTAATTATGCATTACTTTGGGGAGGTGCCAGGCATGTACGTTAAGATTGTATTTAAGTTCAACTTTGACTGCTGTATTTTTGTCTTCTTTCTTCTTCTTGAGAGTGGCGATGATATGTGTCTCTATTGCCGCTTCTCCATGTTACAAATCCTTTGTATTAATATGATTCGCGTCGTCTAGTTTGTGATTGCAGTAGAAGCATACCGAATCATACGTCTTCCTGATCCTTTTCCGGTGTGCTTACGAGAAAAGCATCCACGCTCCGTGAGTGCCTGAGTTAAATAGTACTTCTTAGATACAAGTTTGCAACTTGTCCATTTGGACATGTTTGTAACGAGCCTATGAATCCATTTGCCTGTCTCCACTTTGTCCCAGCGCTTCTGCCAGTGGGGCAACACGCTTTGACTTTTTTAAGGGGAGAGGGTACCATGTATACCCCCCATGTTAAATTTACTATTAATGATGTTCCTTTTCTACAAAATAGTTTACTATAAAATTGTGATATTTTTCACACTAAAATATACAGTTATTTGTTATTATTATAATTCTTATTTTGACATTTTTTAAATTGATTAAAAAATAATTAATGCATCATGTAATAAACGTATGTAATGTAATGAATGTTACCTGTAAATTTTAA